CCCCCCCATAGAAAGAAAAAATTTGAGCCCACCCCTGGACTTATTCCTGAATACGCCACTGTGTACATTACAGATTTCTTTTTTTCAGCAGAGCCTAGAAAAGGCTGTTGTTGAGAGCAGTGAGGTTGAAGAGGCTACTGGGAGTGAAGTGGAGGCTGTTAGAAGTAGTATGGAGGCTACGGAGGCCATGGACGAGGCTGATATGTAACTTATCAGTGTCATCTCAATAGGTAATTCGCTCTTGGTAGTCAAAGTTTATATCTAAGAAATAAGTATTGTGTTTAAATGTCTATTAACTAGGCTTTTAGGGCGCTTTGTGCCCATCTTCTGTTTCAATTGTAAACAAAATCTCTTTGTATACATTGTAAAACAAAAACAAAAAAGTTGCAAATTTTATATTAAAAATTTATGGATTTTTGACATTTAATGAAAATCGAATATTGTTGGAGGCACATTTTTGAAATTTTTATCATATCTTTAAACCTTCCTCGGGGACACATTCAACTTGGGCCCGAACGGTCCAGCCGTTTTGACGTTTATTTGATACAAACAGACAGACGAGCAGCCAATTATATATATATAGATTTGACAATTAAAATGATTAGAAAACAATTAACAATCTTTTTTCTATGAACAATCTAAGTGGCTCTGTTAAGCTGAATACAGGGTATTTCAATAAACATGGGAATTTCGAGATCGTCTAAATAAATGATTTTTATTTAGTATATGGTGATACAGTGGTAGGCGATTATATCAATAATAAAGACGACTTTTTTGTTTAAGTTTTGATTATTAACAAGCTTTTTTATAGTTTATGAGAAGCTTTTTTAATTGACAGCTTTTCTTAACTTCTCTTGACTTAACAAAGACAAACTTGAATTTGTCACTTATTTCCTAGGTTTACTGGGACCCCTGTATCCTCTGCTAGAATGAACAAACTTACAAAATTTATATTTTCAGATGAGTCCTGAACGTACAAATACTTCTGTGGTCTCCGTTTTATTCTGATCTTATATTATATTCTAAAATAACTTTTTTTGAGTGGACAACATCACCCCATGTAATGATTTAAATAGGATTTAAACTTTAGAATCTGACTTATAATACATTTTAGAAAATAATTAATATACCAGCCTCCCCCCGCACCCGGACAAAAAAAACGGTTAATTGAATATAAATCAAACTTTGATTAAGGGCCCCAATTGCAGATTTCTTGGAAATCCAAAATAATTTTAATTAACCCTTGGTCCATTTTTGTCTTAGCTAGCTGATCTACTCCAAAGTCATTCGCCAACTTTCCCCTTTTTTATGAACAATTTTTATGTTGTTTTGTCATGTGTTGTGTTTACTTTGTACTGTTAAGTACATTGTACCTTTTACTGATTATGTACTCTTTCCGTACTTAAGTAAATAAATTTGTATTTTGTACTCATGATTATTTATAAAGCTTACATGATGTGATTTATTCTAGAAACTACAAAATACAACATTGACTTTCTAATTATATTATTTATAAAGCTTACATGATGAGATTTATTCTAGAAACTACAAAATACAANTTAAATTTCTCACATAACAATTCTCTTGAAAAGTCATAAAGCATTGTAATTTATAACTTGCATTTTTGTGCAATTGAGGTTTCGTGAATATATTAACTTTTAAAAATTAGTCGGCATCAAATTTTTTAACTCTAAAAAGGACAACTTTTAAAAGAAAAAACCGAAAAAATAAAAAAAAAAACATAAAAACTTGGAAATATTACTTGGTATGGAATTTACGAAAATTTTTAGGTTTGCATCAACAGCTCTAAAAAATGAAACATTTTAAGAAAAGAAAAAACCGAAAAAATAAAAAAAAACATAAAAACTTGGAAATATTACTTGGTATGGAATTTACGAAAATATACGTATTTTAAGGTTTGCATCAACCTCTAAAAAATGAAACATTTTAAGAAAAGAAAAAACCGAAACAATACTTTTAAAAATGTAAATAAAAACTAAAAACAAAGAAAATTGCATTGTAAGAAATTTACGGAAATATACGTAATAGGTTTGTATAAACTTCAAAAATACAATTTTTTATGTAAAGAAAAAATACTTAAAAATACGTAAAATTAAACCTAAAACTTTTGAAAAATTACTTAGTAAAAAGTCTACGCAATCATTCATAAAAATACGTTTCTTTAGCTTAAAAAAAAATACATAAATATACGCATGAAGTTCTTTACCAAAAAGTTAAACATAAAAACTTATTTACTTATTTAAATACGTATACCTATATAGAGACTAGAATTTTTAGGATTTTGGGTTGGTATGGTTGTTTCATAAAAGCAGACTTAAATGGAAACAGTTTTATAATCGAACCTTAGCAAGTTCACAGTATTTGTATGGAGCATTTCAAAGTCCAAAAAACCTAATAGATCTAGAAAGACGAACCAAGATATTGCCAATCACTATACCTGCTTAACAATTTTACAGGGTAATTATAGGATCGAGTATCAATTTACTTGTATAACAATTGAACTACTCGCCCTAAAAACAATTAAAGCTGAAGTTAGAAATTTTGTGTTGTGAATCTTGGGATAATTTTATTTACATCTTTGCAGAATTTGCAGACTTGCTGATTAATTTAATTACTCAATTTGTTATTAGTGGGCATGATCCTATACTTCGATCGTTTATAGGGTTCAAGCATTTATACTTAAATCTAAAGGTGTCATCAAAAATTTGATATCGAGAAATGTAAAAAAATATTATGCAAATGTTTATAGATCGACTACCGTGCAATCAAATTAGTCCCGTTTCAAGTAGAAATTATCGATATAAATGGAAGATCCTTCCCAGAAGATTGGTTGGGGAGGCTCGAAAGTCATCTTGGAACGCGCACTGCCGCAAATATGTAAAATGAGGTTCGGAAGCTGTTCGGGGGAGGTTGCCGTTCCCCCCTTGTGAGTATAGATGTATTCAAAACAAAATTTTATTAGTTCATTTGAACATAATCAATTTTTATTTTGTTCCTTTGTACTAATCTTCAAATGGACTAGAAACCGGTTTTTGAATAGCTGACTTTACGCAATAGAACTCATAGAACGATAGTTCAATCGATACTGCATCATTTTAAAATTGTCTAACTTGCGCATGCGCACGATTACGAAAATGTTTGGCTCCATCTTAAATATTGAATGGAACGAGACTCCCCCGCCAGAGCCGGCTCCAAGTTTGTTTCAGTTTGTTTTGATTTTCGACAATTGAACAATAACATACGGATATTTTTAGTGTGAATTAAAACAGTTAAGTGTAAGGATAAATCACGTTAAGTTTGTTTCGAATTAATTCGAATTAAAAAATATAATCGTACAAGTGCAGTGAATTTGTATTCAAGCAAGGCTCTGATTAAAATAATTCTGAATCTATTAATATTTTCAGAAGTATGGCTGCAACTCTGGAACCCCGTGAACGGGGAGGACCCATACAAAAATATTGGGAAGAAGCGTCAACAATTTCTCAATTAGGAAAATTTAATATTCCATTTTTATGTGACTTATCAAATATAAAATATACCAAATATTTTCCATAGTTATTTTTTTTTGACAAAAACGAATGAATATTAAAATGTTAGAAAGTGTTAAAGCATGGCTCCTTAAAAATGCCAAAAAGGTATTAATAAATATTTTAATCTTCCTGGTCTATTATCAATATCCAACTGGCGGGTCCGTCCTAGAGAACGAAGTTTGTAGCCCCCGGGCCCCCCCCCCCCCCCGTCTCCTATCAATTTCTACATGTCCAGTCATCTTTCATTTTTCAGCAAAAATATTATTTATTCTTTTATTAGTTTAGGTAAGGTTAGGTTGAGACAATTTTTGGGCCAAGCGCTGCGGCTAGGACAGGCTAGGGGGCCTGGCGCTGCGACCACATGACAAATTATATCCATGTGTTACATATGAGATCCATGTACAAAATTTATAGGAAGGGGGGAGGGGTCAAAAAATCGTTCTCTAGGAAATTACCCAACAAGCGATAGAATTATCATGACATGAATATAGCCGTTCAGTATGTTTCGAATGATCAAAAGTATATGTAGAATATTGTGACCTGCTAATTTAGATGACGCATATTCAGCATATTACGAGTGACCTGCTTTGTGATATTATGTAGATTCGCAATGGATTCACAACATTTTGGTTTCCTTGGATCTGAATCCACTAAAATATACGGACACAAAAATCGCTCCTTGGGAATTTCTTAATTACCAAAGAAACTGATTGCCCCATCAAATTTTATCATAAAATTAGAGATGAAGAAAAGATAAATAAGATCAACATTTTTCTTCCGGTAAAAAAAAAAATTTAAAACAACTCAGGACCCAGACCCGGATACACTTTTTTCAAGGCAAAACTAGTATCCGGATCCGCATCAAAATGTTGTTAATGACCTTCTTTAAAATATTGATGTATATTCAGTATGTTGTGAGCGACCTTCTTTGATCAAATGTATATTCAGCATGTTGAGAGTGACCCGCTTTGATTAAATGTATATTCAGCATGTTGAGAGTGACCTGTTTTGATTAAATGTTTATTCAGCATAATTAGTGACCTGCTTTGATTAAATGTATATTCAGCATAATGAGAGTGACCTGCTTTGATTAAATGTATATTCAGCATGTTGCGAGTGACCCGCTTTGATTAAATGTATATTCAGCATTTTGCGAGTGACCTACTTTGATTAAATGTATATTCAGCATGTTGCGAGTGACCCACCTACTGCGAAGTCCTTATCTCAGCTTGTTCAGCAGTTTATTCAACTCCAAGAGGATAATCTCGGAAAAGGAGCAAAAAATCCGGCATTCACCAGACTTCCGGTAATTTTATGTTATTCAATTCTTTTGGAAATTATATTTTGTTAACTATTTTCGGTAATTATAGTTTATTCCTTAGACTTATTAAATAAAGTTTATTCGTTAGCTTTCCCGTAAAAACTGAGCATATTTTCTCCTATTCCTGGCATTTCACAATCTAGTCTGCCTTTAGTGTACTGCAGGGGTTTATATTTATCCAGGGGAGGGGAGAAATTATTTTTGTTGAATACTTTGATGCGTTTTTACCTAAAAAACATTTATTTTCCGTTTATTCAGCGATTTTAATCCCCTAAAAAAATTTACGCTCTGCGTAAGCAAGTATAACTTGTGGAGATGATTTTCAAGGAATGATTTTTCGAGAAAAAATTTCAATTTTATTAAATTCAACCAAAATTGTCGAAATCTGAATGAAATCTCCGGTAATATTGAAAGCACAAAAAAGGCAGACCACATTTTGGAAATGCCAAGACTAGGAGTATTTTGGTGAAAATTAACTGTTTACGATTTACGAATAAATGCCGCAAATTATTTCAAGGATTTAAGACGACCTACAATTCGTCCTGCTACTGTCATGTTTTGTTGGGACAAACACTGTAAGTGTACTTTAATTGAAAACTAAATATGTTTCCAGATGTTCCTGTTCTACGATCTTGCTCCTGGGGGCTCCCTCTGCCATATCCTCAGCGCTATGTACAAGTTTAAGACCGAGCAGGGTTGGAGAAGGTTCGATCTCCAATCCTCAAGCAGGAAGGATGCCAACATACAAATGTGTCAAAGGTACCCAGTAAAATCCAGTAAAACTGTTTAATAATATTATTTTGAATCGTAGACCAAACAGACTAAACGGTAAATCAAATTTACAAATCATCCAGGAGTTCTCTGAGTGAACACTTACACTGCACATATCCATTACACAAAAATAATGCAGCTTAACATAATTTAGACAAACAAATTTGTCACAAAAAGTATTTTAGTCTATCAAATCTGCCACAAATAGCATTTTCCCAATAATTAGTCCATCAAATCTGCCACAAATAATATTTTAGTCCATCTAATCTGCCATAAATAGTAAATTAGTCAATCAAATCTACCACAAAAGTCTTACACCTGCCACAAAATTTCTACATTAAACATTTTAAAATATACCCTGCAGCTAGGGATGGGCAGCCAGATTCCTTATAAAAAAAAACTTTTAATATTTTTAAACTTTTCAAGGGTTTTACGACAATATTAAAAGGTTCCAACATTTTAAAACTTTTTTCTGTAGAAGTTTGCTTTTATCAAATATGCTAATTTGTTACCCTGTAAGAAAAATGATCGTTTAAAACAATAATTTTTGGGTTTTTAAAACGTTAGTTTTTGGTTCGTTTTTGCCTTATATTAGGATAACAAATTTGCATGTTTGATAAAAGAAAACTTCTACAAAATACAAAATTAAATAAATTAACCCTTCTCAAATTGGCATTAAACCTTTTAAAAGTCTGAACATATTAAAAGTTTCTGTAAAACGAATCTAGCTATTGCCCATCGCTACCTGCAACCAGTGAAAAATTTCCAAAAATTTATGAAATAAATTGTTTTCGTCAAAGTGAGTATTTTTTGGAATTAATATTTTTCATTGATAGGGTTGAGGAGTCGTTGAACCAGCAGAAGCTGTACATCAGTCCTATTGTCTTCATCAAGGACAACGTCAAGGCTGCTGACAGGTTGGTACAAACCTGAGCTTAACTCCTCATAATAGAGCTCTTTGTGTTTCCAAGGCATTTGTTGGCATTTCGCCGTTAGGAAGGTGAAACAATTGGGCGCTTTTTTAAATGAAATGCGCAAATCCACCTTGCACCAGTTCAAAAGTTTTCTTTGGTACAGTTTCAGAATAGATTTGAGAATTTTTTTTTTAAATATATTTAATTTTTGCCGGTATTTCAAAAATGCGGGAAAGTTAACTTGTAAGCTTTTCCCCCTTTTTTGATCTGCTTCATATTAGAGCATTACCAATTCTTCAAGATGATGTAAAGTTTACTGGAGAAACGGTATTTTAATGATAAATAAGATATTATTAATAATTTATTCTGTGTTTGTGCAGGGAGAAGGCTAAGGATATAGTGAAGAAGAAAGGTGGAACTATTACAGAAGATGAAGATGAAGCTACCCATATCCTTTTTCCCAAAGTAGAACTAAACAACGAACTATACGCAAGGTATGTTTTTCGTAAGACGATAGTTAAACTTAAAATCCAACTGCAAAATAAAAAATTAACCTCCAATGGTGATGAATTTAATTTTTTTATTGTCTTTGAAAATAAATTTTTAAACAATTAATTTCTTTTTCTGAAAATAAATGTGATCTAAGCAAGCTTTATTTTTCATTTTGTTCTTTTTAGACCCGTGTTTCGTCGAGGTGATAAATGCCTGATTCATTTTATCATGATGCCGGACAGTCACGACAACTGGGGAGTTTGTTATCCTGACAGTGATACACCAGAGGTAACTTGATTCTCATCCCAGGGGTGAATATTTTTCTCAAAAATATATTTTTCTCAAAAATATTTTTTTTCTCTTCATAAGTTGATTTGAGTTGCGTGGAACGAAAAAAGATTTTATAGGCTTTTATTTGCTGAATTGGGGAAATAAATTATTTTTCTTAAATTCTTGTATTGATATTGAAGTTATATTATTGTATTAATGTTGAAGTTGTATTATTGTATTGATGTTGAAGTTGTACTATTGTATTATTGTATTGATATTGAAGTTGTATTATTGTATTATTGTATTAATCAGGCTCCTGAGGAGAGAGCTGAAGTGTACCTGGTATCTGTGGACTGGGTCCTGGACTCCCAGCAGTACAACGAGTGGTTGAACGAGGAGGATTATGAACTAGATGAGCACGGGAAAGTAAAGGTAAAAGATTTATTACGAGTTTATATTTTAAAGAACTCCCGTTCCCCCTTTTTGGGAAAATGAAAAGATTTCTCAATAAAATTGAATAGAAAATTTAATATCAACCGAACAAATCAAGAAATGTGGACAATTTTTTCATATTTGGCCGGGACCAAAAAATTTGGTTTTGAAAAAGAATTATAAGTAATTAAGTTGGGACGTGGAAATTGTTAATTGTTGCCAGGTTGGTTTGGGGGTTTCATATTGGGTTCCTTTTCAGTTCGTATGTTCTGACCAAAATGATTTTGTAAAGACGGAATGAAATAAAAATTTGGTTTTGAAAAAGACTTATAAGTACTTGAGTTGGGATGTGGAAATTGTTAATTGTTGCCAGGTTGGTTTGGGGGTTTCATATTGGGTTCCTTCTCAGTTCGTATGTTCTGGCCAAAATGATTTTGTAAAGAAGGAATAAAATAAAATTTGAAATTACAATATTCTTCTGGTGAAATGTTTGTATTATGATGATGTCTGTATAGCCCTCAGAGACAGCTATGACCTATGACGAGTTCCAAACAAGCGAAGAGAAACCAGAAAAGAAGAAAAAGACCACTAAGAGGAAACGAAGCCCCAGCCCAGCCCCTAAAGTAAGTGCAGCAGTTGTGTGGTGTTCTCTGCCCCTAAAGGCAGAGTTCTACATTGGGTTCCCTTTTAGATTTTACGAACTTCTATTTCTTTTTCTTGTCATGAAATCAAAGGGGCTGTAATCGTAATTTCAAGTGACCCTCCAGAGAAAAATGGCATTGCCTAATAAACAACGGTACCCTTAAAAGCTTTGTCCGGTCAAGTAGGAATTATTTATGATTTTTTATATATTAAAAAACAGATTTTTTAAACTGTGGTTTACCTACAAAAGTGACTTGTGCATTTCTACTGCAAAAAAAGGATAGAAGATATTACTATTTAACAATGTTCAACCAAGAAAAACGTCAATATCTCCCACACTTTCAATCAGATAAAGCCATAGGTTTGAAGGGAAACGGTTTGAATTGAGCAATATCATTTTTGACTGGAGAGTATAGAAGATATTACTATTTAACAATGTTCAACCAAGAAAAACGTCAATATCTCCCACACTTTCAATCAGATAAAGCCATAGGTTTGAAGGGCAACGGTTTGAATTGAGCAATACCATTTTTGACTGGAGAGTATAGAAGATATTACTATTTAACAATGTTCAACCAATAAAAACGTCAATATCTCCCACACTACCGATCAGATAAAGCCATAGGTTTGAAGGGCAACGGTTTGAATTGAGCAATACCATTTTTGACTGGAGAGTATAGAAGATANGGTAAAGATTGATTAGTAACTAATGGATTATTATGTGATTGTGATTTGATTTCGATTTCGATTTCGATTTCGATTTCGATTTCGATTTCGATTTCGATTTCGATTTCGATTTCGATTAGTAGATTCATTTCGGAGTGGGTAGTATTACGTTCCTAAAAGTCTGGATTGATTTATTGCTTCATGTTTAGAGCCGGAAGTCTAAGGGCGGAGCTAAATCTAAGAAGAGTAAAAATGATGAAGAGGATGAAGAGGATCTTACCGCTGACATGGTAACAATCGTTTCATTCTTTGCTTTCTTCTCGTCATATAGTTGTGTCGTCTTATAGGGTGTCCGTGGAAAATTTGGAAAACACGACTTTACGCCAAATCATATAGCTTGTATGCTATGTTGCATGGTTGCAATTTTTGATATCAGATAATAACTCATGAATCCCTAGGCCGTTTTGCCTCATTTTTTTATTTGGGGAACTAAGTCGAACCACGGAAACGTTCTTAGTCACGTCTGGTTTAATAATTCTATGTTGAGAGGGTTGACTTTTACAGGGAAAACTCTGGGCAAAGTTGGGTTCCCATGCTAGTTTTTTATACAAGTTTTCCAGGACCAGAGCACTTCGCGCCACTGTTCCTAGATGGACTGTCTTTATTTTTTTTAATAAACATCAGATTTTTTCTGTTATTGGTGGATTGGTTAGATGAGTTACCACACAAAATTCGGGTCTAATCGGCTTGGGATGCAAACGAATCAAAATAATTTGTTATATTATTGTTAAATTTTAACTAATTTTCTATCCTCAATTAAATCATGTTTAGGAGGACCCGGTTCCTGAAAATTCTATTTCTGAAGTTAAAACTGAATCTCAACCAGCCAAAGGTATTTTAAACTAAGAGCAATATTCATAACAGAATACATTTGACGAACGTCATGTCTGATTCACGACTATACCCTCAAACTCTTTTTATGATCAAGGATGAATGAGACATCCTTTTTTCTATCTAAATATAGATTATTTTCAATTATAAATGTGACTTGCGGATTTACGATGAAGAGTTAATTTTGAATTTTGACAGAAAAGCGACAAAATCTTTCTCCTAGTTGCTTCTCAAAAGGGAACTGTTGTGATTTGAACATGACACTCAGGGTCACTTGACATTACGTCTACAGTCTCTTTCCGACTACGACAGTTCGTGTGAATAAAAAATTGAGAAAGGTTTCGCTCAAGCGTAGCTCACGGTTTCAACTTCAACTGGTTACATTGATATATATTGATATATTGATATATTGATTACTGAATACTGATTCGGAATCCATTTATTAACAAATCCAGATCCAATATTTTCCTCTTCCTCAGAAAGGCATCCTTCAGAGACGATATATCTACAAAAACCATACTCAAAACACTTAACCAAATTTAACCTTGAGGTCGGGATATTAAAGACTTTTTTTAAGTCTCAATCCTTGTGGTTTATCCTGGATTTTTTTTTTTACAAAATTAACGTCTGTTAAACTAATGTTCCTTTAGAAAATCGAGATATGATTATTAGGTTAAGAAGCAGAAAATGGTAGATGAAGTTCGTCATGATTCCGGGTTTTTATTGATTAGAGTTAAAAAAAAATCTAATTGATGATATTGGTTTCCAGTTCCAAGCTACAGTGCCTGGTTTGACTACAACAGCTTGCATGCCGTAGAGAAACGGAATCTTCCGGAATTCTTCAACGGAAAGAATATGTCCAAGGCAGGCTGGATTTCGTTAGAACTATCACAAAAATAGTCAAATTATCACTTTTTAAGTCGCATTACTTAGTAAGTTTGTAATCATTAAATATGTAAACTCTCACTTCTGCAATCTTCGAATCGTTGAATTATTTGACGACGCATCAAATTAAAGAAAGTTCTCATTGTTAAAGGGACTGTAAGCGTAATTTAAATGGGTTCTCCATGCAAAGATGGCAATGCCCGATTTACAACAGTAACCTTAAAAGCTAAGTCTAGTATGAATTAGGTGACAAAAGTTTTTGTTTCTTTAAACTGTTCATTTCGTTATGGGTTTCACTATCTAAGTGACTTGGGCGGTATTTGCTTATATGAAGCAATAAAGACATATAATAAACATAATAAACCACTTTTTGTGTCAGGAAAACGACGGTATCTTCCACAATCCACATTTTGATCAGAAAAACTTTTTAATTTTAAATTAGTATTATTCATCTTGAAACTGTAGAATTGAAGTAGGACAGCCCTAGAAGTCTGGTTTGTATTAAAGGTATCTTTGTAAATCGAGCATTGCTATCTTTTGCACGGAGGGTTACTTACTGGATTACTGGAAAAATTTTCGCTTTTGTGACATTTTCAGCGAGTCAATATATCTTTTTTGTTTCTACTGATAGTGCATTAAGTTAAACCAGGGATCTTGGCGCCCTTGACACCTTCACCAGGGATCTCGGCGCCCCTGACACCTATCACATTGAAGAAATATGTTTGTCATACATGTTCTTAAAATTAATCAATGAAGTGGCATTTTTAATGACTATTGGCAAATTTTTCCATCTTTTAATAACTCTTAAGCTAAAGAAGTTTCTCCAAATATCTAGATTGCACAGTTTTGAGTTGAGGTTCATATTGCATGTCGAAAATCTTGTTTCTTAAAATTACGCCTACAGTCCCTTTTACTCATCACATTTAAAAGTTCTTGCCTATGAGAAACTAGAAATGTTGTTCTAATGAATCTTGTGTTTGTAGACACCTGAAATATATTTATCGTACAGGAACTTCATGATCGATACATACAGGTCAGTGTACACTGTACAGTGTACAACATATAGTTAGAGCTCACCACCGTTACAACTTTTTTAAACCGTTAGTCAACATTTTGATGAAATCGTTAAATAGCCAACTTTTCAGATAACCGTGTGTTCTTTGCTAAGAACACGTCGTTCTGCTTAAGTTTCCGTTCTTTAACGATCTAAATCTTATTGACGGCCTCAACAGAAGATATTATTGAACTCCTTAACGGTGTCCGTCATTAACTATTATGTTATGTTAAAAAAGCGGGAAAAATCAAAAAACTTTATGTGTTCTTTATTATTAGTATGTTTCAAGCATTTTTAATAAGACAAATTAAAGCCAAATTAAACACATCTTTTCTTGCTTTTTCTTCAGTGCTAAGGATCCTTTTATTCCTTCTAAAATTATCTCCAGTCAATTTTTTATTTTTTTCATAATAATATAATTATCAAGTTTTGTTGTTAAGGCTAAACCCAACAGAGTACCTGACCTCTACAGCATGCAGACGTAACCTAGCTGGAGATGTGTGCGCGATAATGCGCGTGCACGCTTTCCTAGAGCAATGGGGGCTCATCAACTACCAGGTCATTCAATTTATTCCTCGCTTGTAAATTATTTTTCATGTTTAACTGTAAAGTAAAGGAACTTAACACTTTCACAAATTATAATTTTCTTAACTTTGTTTCTTTGAAACCTGGTATCGCAGAACTTGGATATTTTAAACTATTAATTCTGCTTAAATATATCCAGCTTATAATATCGGAGGTTGCACAGATATTGAAATTAGACAGTTAAAATATGTTACGATTAGAATAGAATCATGTTTTCTATAATGACTCTTTTTAAAGATCTACGAGGTCAGAAAATCGTGCCAGTATTGTCGCATTAATTTGCCCCTCTTTGGGTCTAGTAGAGAGTGAAAGTGATTTGGATTAAAATTTGCGTTTGCGTTTTTGATACGTTGATTGTAACGTAATTTGATAATTATTTTGACCAGGTTGACATTGATGCCCGCCCTACAGCAATGGGTCCTCCTCCCACCTCCCACTTCCATATACTCGCCGATACACCCGCCGGTCTGGCTCCGGTCAACCCACCACGCACGCCACAACCATCGGCGGCCAGAACTATGCTAGATTTGGACGGCCGGAGAGTAGACAAGCCGGACACTGACCGGAAGTCTGAAATCGGCGGTGATTTTGGTCTAAAAACTGATATCTATGATAAAAGAAACGCTGCTTTGAAACGTGCTTCTGCTGCGACAGCGAGTAGGTAGGAAAACCTGGCTCAAAGATCACCAAGCCCTATGCTTCTTGAACTTTGCCGATGATTTTCAAACAAATTAATGTATTGACAATATATGCCGCGGTTTTTATCAAGAAAATCGATAAAAACAATACCCCTACCCGTTTTCACAAATAATTTTCGTTGTTTATTGTCGAAAAAGGTATGGGGAAGGGGGTTAATTGTCGGCTGATTTATTTATTCCACAATCTTGAAATTCCTCGAAATATATACCCCTTAAATTTATTAACATGTAAATTAGTTTGAATGCGATAGAATTCATTTATTAGTTATTTGACGGATTTACTTATAAATAACTTGATCATTGCGATTGATTGATTAATGTATTTTATATGTATTTTATATTTATTGATGGATGAATTTGATTCTGATTTTTGATTAGGGATTGGACCCAGCAGGAAACCCTCCTACTCCTGGAGGCCCTAGAGATGTTCAAGGATGATTGGAATAAGGTAAAGCAGTGGTTTAATATTAATCCAACCAATCAATGGAGAGGGGAAGGTGGAGTGCTCAGGATCATATGGATCCGCAACATTTTGGCTTCCTGGATCCGTTAAAATATGCGGATCCCTGGATCCATGGGGCAAAATACCAAGCAAAAACTGTAAAAAAAAATACTTCTTTGATCTCTAAACACAAACTTCAACCGTTAAAAATTTTAAAGATAAAAAATTTCCTCATGTCTGAATGGATCATGAAGTTTTAGCATGAAAATAAAGTTTTAAGGAAAGGAAAGGTTTCCTTATCAAGAGAAATGGATTCTAAGCA